TCAAGTGGCGAAACAATTCGTTTCGTCTGCGGGCTGGCAGCCTGCAGCGGCCTCATGTGCCGAAACAGTTCGTTTCGTCCGATGCAATCAGGCAGGTCAGTATTGGGTGCGGGCTGGCAGCCCGCAGCGGCCTCAGGTGCCGAAGCAGTTCGTTTCGTCTGCATGCTGGCAGCCCGCTGCGGCTTGATGCGTTCAGGCAGGTCAGTACTGTTCCTCCAGAAAGAGGTTTTGCCGTTTACATCCGGCTCCCATCCCATGCCGGAAATTGACTCGCTTGAGCACATCCAGCCGCCGGCTGCCAGTCCACTCCAAACTAGTCGGTTTCAACACATTAGGCCACTGTGCACGTCAAGCTGCTGCGGGCTTCCAGCCCACCAGAAACCCGTTTCACCACATCAGCCCGCAGCCGAAGTTTACCCGTTTCTTCATATCAGTCAGGTCCCTGCAGGCTGTCAGCCTGCACTAAAATCATCTGTTTCGGCGTGTCAGGCCGCTGTGGGCTGGCAGCCCGCACACCCAAACTGACGCGTTGGGGAGCAACTTTAGCAATTTGCCATGCTTCAGAACCTCTTGCGATCTCTTACGGTTTGCGCGCAGGCTGTGGGAGGCTGGCCGAAGGCGGCTTCCTCAACAGCACCTAGCCAAATTGCACCCTTCCTGTCCCACATGCTACACTCTAAAGTCTTCACTTGATCATAACGATTGACCACATCCTGTCTTCGGATTCAACATTCGTCGCTGCAAGGTGCACACAACCGTTCCGGGGTCCAGCAGGAGCGCGGAGTGTGGAGGTTTGACAGCCAAGTGTCCGTCTGGTCGTCCTTACGAAGCAGTCTGGCGATTGGTCCCTAGATAGCACGTGAGATGCAACTACAAAAAGCTTGGGCTTCTCCGAAGAATCCTGCATAATGATGACTGACTTACCATTCGGCCTGATCCACAGCGCAGCCTCTGCAAGGAGTACATCGCTGAGCCTGGGGGTTCTGGGCTCACGACAAGATCACTTTACAGGCTTGCGTTTCCAAGCAACGAGCACGTGTAAACTGATCGGTTTTGATCGCTTGTGCATTGCACATACACCCCCAGCAGAGTGCGAAAATAACTTTGAAGCCTGTGCAAACTCTGAACATTCTGGAGAAGGCCCCGCTACTACATTCATGCTTTGGACAAGTGCACCGACACAGCGGCTGCCCTCAATCCTGCCAAGCTTGTTGCGCACTGTTGATGCCCTCTGTGCCTCTTCGTCTGTGCTGCTTGCTTCGCTATCGTCCCGGAAAGACACACTCCTGACAGGAGGTTCATCACTGGAACCTAACTGGGCAGCATACTTGAATCCAAGTGAGGGTGTTTGAAAAGCCCCCACCCATGTGCTTGACTCTTGATTCGGTTATGGTTGTTTTACTCGTTGTTTTTTTACAAGACTTTGGGACTGTAGGATGTAGCAGCAGCAGCAGCAGCAGCAGCAGTAGCACCCAAAATTGGCTCATTTCAAACTTTTTGGCTTGACTCGATCGGGAAATGATGTTGTCTTGCCAGGGCAACCCTAAACTACCTAAAGCCTCACAGATTCCCTACCAGAGAGGGCCTAAGCTGCTTCAAACAGCACCGATTCCTCGCAAAGAAGGCTAAAGTGCTTCAAGCGACCGGAGCTAAGGTTACGAACATCTTGGTTATGGTTGCTTGTTTTTGCTCTTATCGCTTTACAGGAATTGGATTGCTCTCGACTTACAGACGCATCTACTTGAAAAAATGCTCTCTGGGTTTTTATCATCCCTCAAGTAGCTGGGCGAGTCTATCATGATCAACTTCTCTCAAACTATTGGAGACTACAGTAGAAGTAGCACTTCCCAGCAACCCCCACAAGCTACTCTACCTCGGTGCCCCCAAGGGCGGTGCTTCGCACAGCTGTGGGGCATGTGAGTGCACTCTTACGTAAAATGACGGTACACCATGATGTCAGTCACTAAAGTATAGAGTTCAGGCTCGAGCTTGTGGCACCACTCTCAATCCAAAAGGTCTATGGAGCAGCCAGCAGCTGGTGCTCCTGCCCCGAGGGTGCTTGAAGGGTACTGCTGCATAAACCTTGTCGCTCCAAACCTGGCGCAGAGTGCCAACAGGGCATTGTCGGCAGAAGCTCAAAAGAACTATAAGCGTTCATGATGGCTCGATTCCAGGGCCTCGACTGCAAACCGTTGTCAGCGGCCAGGCATGTCGCCTTTGACCCTCAGACTGTCGGACTGTCCGTCGCCTCTTTGAAGCCGCTGTACACCAGGTACTGCGTGATGAGGCTCACAATGATCAAAATCTCGGCTCTAAGGTTAATGCAGGGAGCTATAGCCTGGAGTGTCCCAGTGACACAAACCTTAGGCCTGTGTGTCAACAAAAAGCATAGCTGGCATGCATGGACACCACGATTCCAAGCCTTAGCCTCCGACACAGTAAGTGGAATAAAAGATCTTGCATGAGGAAGGATCTGAGCACCACCTGCCATGTTTGAGGCCGCTTAGGATTAGGGTTCCTCCGGGCTTTGGCCATCCGAGCAGCAGAATGGAGCTCTTTACCATGATTGTCATCCAAGGGCGCGCAACCCAGAACACGCTTCACAGTCAGGATAGAAGACAGAATGAACAACATCTGCTGGGCAAATAGGATGCTGTCGCTCTGGTGACTCTGGTGGCCTGTCGCGATTTCCCGCGATGAGCCCATAAACCTCACTGCTGGTGCTTAGATGTTGACTTGCAATTGGGTGTGCTGTTGAACAGTTACATTGCAGGCTCCATTCCATGCTGTACTTTACCCGCTACAGTGGCCGTGATGCCGCCTCATCTAGGCAACGGACCTAGGCAACGTATTGACAGTCAGTTTTCCCCTCCGAGGCAAGGCACCAGCGGTGCTTCGCTGCCATCCGAATTCCAGTAGAAGTAGATAGCCTCGGTATGAATTGAACAGGGTTTCAGGGCCTGGGATGCAGCTAGCTGGCCAGCAGATCTCGCAAGATGGTTGTCTTGGCTCCCGCCTGAACCGTGGCATGGGCACCACAGGCAGCCCCGAACACCCCGGCCAGGAAGTGTAGGAGCTTCCTCGGAGGCCTCCCAGAAGCTCTGGCCGGATCTCAATCTCACTACACCGTGAGCCCGGGAAGCTCCAATGAAGTCTAAGTCTCTGCCTCACGAAGAGCCGGGACAAGAAGAGGAGCACGGAAAGGGCACAAAGGACCACGGAGATGATCATCTTGGCATCACGGCAGATCACACCGGAAGTAAAAATTGGACAACATGGACCAGAGCATGACACATGGCACCCGAGGCCTCACAGCAGGGACTCGCGAACCCGATCGCCCGATCCGAGCACGTGGCCCAGAAATGTGTGGATGTGTCCGAGGAGCCGAAGAGACTGTCAAACCGGTCCTGAACGGCCCGGCTGCCCCACTGGGAGGGCAGAAAAACAACACCCGTTTTCGGCATGTGCTTCACAATCGTTCAATACTCGCAGGCGGAGTTCCTATAGAATCTGGCATGGACATTGCCAGTAGCAGAGCAGTCCTTCCAGCCAGAGGCCTGCTGCAAGGCGTGCTGCGCCTGCAGTCAAGCTCAGGATCTGAGATCAATCTAAGCCTTGGATACCCTACACTCCCGGCCACTCCTGTCGGGCCTCGGCTTGACTTTCGCTGAGCGGCATGAACTTGTCGCTCCTAGCCCAAGGAGGGCGTAGGTCCGGTGTCGGAACTCGCGCAGCCGCACTCTGCTTCGCTGTGGCTGAGGGAACTCTACGCCAAGCTGAGCGACACGCCTGACTGCTGCCCAAGTGTAAACCTCCGGGACATCTTCGAGAAAACCAGCTTAAGCAGCTTTAGCATGCGTAAAAACTCACAGCGCTGAGTCGCTTCACCTGCCTGCCCAACCTGCTGTCAACGGCCATAAGGCCGGAACCGAACTCCAAATTCTGGTCCAAGTCGCGGAGAATATACCCCAGATCTGAATGATCAGAAGGCCGATGGGCTCAGAAAACGCCTCGGACAGCCAGCCAGCAATGGTTTCCCACAGCATCAAAGCACTCTATCTGCCAAACCTGGAAGCAGCCATTAGGCGCAGGCTGAGAAGAGAGCTCCACAAACGCCAGCAGCGACACAGCTGAGCAGCGATCAGGCGAATTTGAGGGTTCGGGGCAGGATGGTGTAGATAGTTGTAGGAGGGGTTTCAGGCCAGCTTTATCCCGCATCTTTGGTTTTACCCCTTGTGGCATCTAGACCAGGGTTTGGGGGATCGGGCAGGCCATGGAGATACTTCGGACAGCCCCTCTCCAGTCGTTGTTTGGTGTGGCTCGTCTCTCTCACAAATGCTGGAATGCTGAAGTCTTTGTCGCATTGTTCCTCCCTGGAAAGCTGGTCTTGCTGGTCGGAAGCGTGTACCTGTAAGAACTTACTGCCGTTACCGAAAAGATGAGTCTTCAAGCATCGACGCTCGCAATGCGGGCATCGATGATTTGCTCCACACTTGCTCGAACGCATGCGCCTGCTACTGGTAGCCACCAACTCCCTACTGCTTTGCACTACTGATTTGGCACTCCAGCAGGTGGTGAAGTTCCTGTCGTTCCTCTCAACCTTACCCTCTGGGAACCTGAAGACGCTGTCGATGACAACGATGCAAGCTAAGTCTCGGGCCAGGCAATGTACTCCTGAGGCGGCGCGGTCCGAGGCAAGCTGCCCAGTGAGGAGGGGCGGATGTCAAAAGCAGGTCTTCAGCATCCGTAGCCCCGGAACTCCTTAACAAAAAGGCACGATCACCGACTATGTCACAACATCCGCACACTCCCGCGCAATGGAGCCCTAAGCTCCAATATCCGAAGGTCCTAAAGATCTGCAGGTCTTTTGTGGCCTGGGACTTGTTCCCGAACGGAAAGGGATTGGAACTGACCATCCCCATGGACTCATTTGGATCTTTGACGAGGATCACCTGGCAGCAAGAGCTAGCATCTTAGTACCTGAGAATCAGGACCCTGTCGCAGTACATGATTCTGCACAGGCCGTGAACTGACTCTGGGAAGCAATCAGTGCTCTGATATCCCATGATATTGCAAGCCCCACCTGAGTTGCTGCCTGGCTCAGGGCTACAAAGCCGGTGCACAGACCTTCCGCCAGGAAAGTCTCCGAATTTGGGGGTATGTCCCTGAACCATCCAAGTACCCTCAAGTAGGGGTATATGATCCCAAATTAAGGGTATTTAGGGTCTAATAGAGGGTAGATGGAGGGTCTAGGTCATCCAAGGATACCGGTAGTGTTGCCACAGGGAAGCCAACAGCCTGAACATTACAGGAAAGGTCTCGTCATCAAATCTGCAAAACCCAGCAAGCTCAAGCTTCCTGTAGTTTCCCAATCACCGGGAGGGCTTCATGCCCATATCTGCGGAGAGCTAACACGGTTACTGTCAGGGGTAATGCCTCAGCAGATGCGTTTGCAAGAACAATCTGCTGCACACGGCCTTGCGAAACCTGATGGCGTCAGCTTCCTAACTTGACTTACTCTCGTCAGCTCGGAGACAGTCTCTTGCGACCCAGCCACGCGCCCAAAAGCTGAGCGACCTGACCGAAGTAGCTGTATAGGGGGAAATGGCTTCAAGTTGCCACTGGCCCCCACACCAAATCCCTAACTTTCAAGCCTCACAAATCACAATCGACCAAGGCAAGAGCCATGCGTAGGTCATCATGTAAGGCCTGGCTGTCGCGCCAAGCCATGGGGAAAGGCCGGACGTTACGGGTGAACATGGACGGCTTCATGCGTCGGGAGTGCTGGCCCTTGCCGAGGCCCTACTCATGGGCCGTCACGAGAGGCGCCCCTAGACAGAAGAGATACGCTACACGTTGAGACAGTAGCATCCCGGCCGTCAACGAAGTCATCCGTAGCTCGAGAGACATAAGCGTGCATCAAGTGCCCGAGCACGGCAAACGAGAAGAAGAACTCCTGCCATTCGAAAATCATGACACCTGGCCATGGCAGCAGATTCGGTGGTGTCAAGCTAGGGATTAGATTCTGAGTATTTCTGAATAGATGGCATCATGAGTGCCTACAATGCCTCCATCATTCCTGTAATGATGCAAAACTGGCTCGAGGACCTGCGGCGCGCAGATGCGAATCCGGATCCTGGACCAGCAATGGCGAGGCGGTCAATTCTGGCTGCAGTTCAGCCGGAATTGCTTGGGTGTTAGAGGCAATGCAGACCCGAGTGACTTGAGAGTGCTAACTGGGACCGGTCTACAAAGAGCGCTTCAGACACCAATCTCGCTTGCAAATTCTTGCCGCTCATGTAGGGCTTCTAGTGCGAGATTTTGGGCTGCTGGTCGCGGCAGCAAGGTGCACTGCAGGCATCTTGTCGGAGTCCTGCGCGCCCTGGATCCTGGAGAAGAAACCCTAAATCGATGGGACGTGAATCAGTCCCTTGGGCCATGAGCAACGGTTGCGTGTACTGACGAACGAACCCTGTTGCTCTGCTGCGAGCTCTCACTGCGTCTCGGCGCACGTGCAATTTACCGGCTCGCGAACCCCAAAGCCCACATGCAGTGGAAGTGGTCCTGCACAACGTTCCTTGGATCCTTCTTCTTTGAAGCTGGAATCTAGAGCCGCCCGCGTGTGAAGCGTCTCTAGCGAAGACAATCCACAGAGGAGAATCAATCTAGACAGGTCGTCGCGCTTTGGATTTCTGGGCTTCCAAAGGCCTGTCGGAGACTCCCTCATCCGACTAACTACCGAAGGTCTGCATTTGCAGAGAATGTGGTATTTCTGTTGACAGAGAGTCATTTAGCGGCCGATCGAACCAACAAGGTCTTTGCACAGTGTGACAGTGTGTGTCTCAGCATCAGTGTCAACAGATGACAGGACCGGCTCCGCGCTTGACGAAGCAGCAAAGATCCCGATCTCATGGCGGCACTTACCAGGTTATGAAGCCGTGCAACTCCGTTAGTAGACCATGGAAACCTTACAAACCCGCCCTGGATCACATCCAAATGCAGACAGCAATGAATAAGTCAACATATCCGTGTTCCGTGCTTGCTGAAACCCTCCAGTGTGAAGCTGTCAGAAATCAATCAACCGACAAGTCCAAGGACCAACTCAGTGATGAAAATTCAAAAGCTCTCACTTCAGCACTCTCCGCTCTTCGAGCGGCGAGGCGTTGACTAGCCGTCGCTTCATAGACTCCTGGCGAATGGCTGTTGGACCCGAATAAACTGATGTATGCAAGCGGCTGAAATCATACAGAATCATAGACACAGGTACAGAGAGAGCGAGAGGCAGAGAAGGAGAGAGGGAGACAGAGAGCAAGAATGCATGGATTGGGCAAGACTGGGCCCGCTTGAAAGACAACACCGGTAGCGTCAGCGTCCACGTTCTGATTCTGATGGCCAGCACCCTTTAACATTGCCTCGCCTCAGACTGGGAGATCGCTGCTATGGGACTCCGCCGGCGTTGCCTGCCATGGTTGGAGGCTTTGCAGAGGGTCGCAACCGGGTCCGTACAGTAACTTCCTGAAAGCTGCTGGTGCCCAGTTCCCAAAGCCAACAGGAAGGCTTCCCAGAAAGTGCAAGCAGCTAAGCACTTAACAACGACTGAATGCCTGCCGGCATCTACAACAAAAGCCAGATACGTCTAGCAAGCATCGAGATCCCTAGAAGAGTGAGGGGCATATGCCGGAATGATGCACCTTCAGCTAACCGTTCAGCTAACCTCTTCAAAAACATACCTTACCGTGAACAAGCTGTGAAGGTGGATGACTGGGGCGACTGAAACCTAAGAGCAAGTGAGAGAAGCAACACCTGAACTGCGGACTGTCCCGACCCAGTGGTCGGCAGCCTGCCGAGCTAGTGACCGGCATGGCAAGGCTCATAGTGTATCTTTTGGGGCCCATTATAAATATGTCTAATGAGGAACCCTAAGGAAGAATATGGGTACTTGTTAAAACTTCTATCTCAACCTCGCCTCCAAACTTGGCTTCGCCAAGTCTTGCCGGCACAGCGGGCAGTCCTGAGACGAAAGGATCATGACGAGGCTTCTTGTGCTTCTCTAAATAAACACTCGCTTCAATATTTACTTGATATCTGAGTATTGGTCAATACTGAGGTAAATAGCTTTATCGCTATGCCATCTTGACAAACATAACATGTATGTCGTCTTTAAGTCTTGCAACTTTGTTCTTCTATAAAATCAACAGCCAAACCATTGTAATAAACGTATATTCAATAATATTCATTATGGGTGAGTGTTCAGGCAACTAGTGTGGAATGCACATGTAGTTGAAACTCAAGAACAAGACCAACCGTATGTAACTGATATCGCACCGAGGGCCGAGGGTAGGAAACTGTTCAGTGCAATGCAAAATAGTCGGATACCTCAATCATGTTGAAGGCTATTCATTATACAAACTAACTTTGATATTCCATGTTTTATGTCTCCGCCCTAAAATAGTAGACGATGATTCGCTCCTTTTTTGTAGGTACCGTTCACCTCTGGGGTATTGAAAAAACGATACTCAGCATCCAAAATTTTAAAAAAAAAACTTAAGTGTTATGTCTATTCAGATCGATATCTTCAAAGTCAATAGACCTATTGACATATTGTTTTAGCGGAAATGATCAACATGTATCAATATTGGTGAGTTTTGTACCAGGCTCAATGAATGTTGGTTAGATAGTATGCTGGTGCTACATGAGAATTGACTGATTAGTCATCGATTCGGCCATGGGTTACGTTGTACATATTGTGGTTCAACATGTAAAACATGTACTAAAGATGTACTGGTTGTGTGGTTGGTGTACACAGTGTCCGAGCATTTGAAAAGTATTATATAAATACATGTTACATGATTAGTCAAGCATCAAATGACACTTTACCCGCGCACTAACACCGCAGGGTACTCCAGTTGAGTATATACATATATATATATATACATATACATATACATATACATATACATATACATATACATATACATATACATATACATATACATATAGAGAGAGAGAGATAGAGAGAGTGTGTGGGTGTAGATGTATATGCAGATATGTAAGATGCTTCTGCCAACTGGGAATCTCCAGACTTTGTAACAATCGTTAAGTTATCATTCGATATCAACTGGTTGTTGAATCCAACAGAAAGTAGACAATTGCATTGAGAGTGTTTCGAGCATCAGACAGTGGCTTTCGAGTAATGCTTGCACGAACATGGGGTCTTTGTGAGTTGTTAAGGCCTTGCGCTGCGTTGGCTGATTTCCCAAGCATTGAAAGTAATATTCTCAACTACTCTAGTCTGTCCTCAGCAGAATTTTGGAGAAGGTTGGCATAAACCTCCAACCCGCTGTGGGCAAGCAGCTCCGCGTGGGAAACCAACGACTGAAAATGCAAAAAGAAACAACAGCAATTCTCCAGGAGATTAGTCTCCCAGATGTTTATGATTTTGGTGTTTGGTGTTTTGGCTTCGTGGTTTCTTTGGGGTTCTGGGTTTTTTGGGTTGTTTAGCAAGAGGGCTTGGTTTTTAGACTTCTCTACCGCTTCAAGCTTTGATCCAGTGCTAGGAAGGAGATGTTTCGAAACTAGTCGCAAAGTTTTGAAAACAACAACGGCCTGTGTTAAAAGAAGGGCTTTAAGACAGGGACTCGGGGGCCTACCTGGTTTCGTTCAACATACTCGTCTAGATTTTGCCCGGCCCCCCTCAGCACTAGGAACACCGAGAGCCGCTTGTGGTGGAGGAAATACCCGTCATCTTCGCATTATGAAATGTCCGTCTTCGTCGCAGTGTGTCATAGTGGTATGGACGCCGTAATGGCGGTAGCAGTAGCAGATGAGCAGCAGCAGCAGCAGTGAAAGTGGAACACGAATTAGAAGTAGTAGTGGCTGCAGAAGAGTAGGAGCTGGCAGTGGCGACGGCGGCGGCAGATGCTGCAGCAGCAGCGGCGGTGAGAGAAGTGACGGAGTGGACAAGAACTACACTGCACAACTGCGCTGACGACAGCGACGACAATAACGACGACGACGCTGCCTGAGTTCTGAGAACTGATTGAAGGACTGTTGCAAAATCGAATCGAACTGCAGCCAAGAATCTCGATTTACTTGCAGCCAGTCCTGTCAGAGCTGCACCGAGTCACTGAGTGTCGACTCTGGCTTCTCCTCTATGACGACCACACATCGATGGGCACGTGACACTGAGCGTCACGGCATGGCCTTGAGGCAGGCCTTGTGGAAGTAGTGATTGCACTTCAAGGTCCTTCACGGCGACAGGCCAAGAACATGCTGGCCACCAGCACCCACAGGAACGAAAATGAAAGAATGATGCGATACCCGGATATGCGCCGGACAGCCAGCCCAGCTTCCTAGGTGCATTCTGGCAGACTGCTGCCATCCCTTGTAAGTACTTACAGTGGATCGCGATGTGGACGCTGGCTCCTTGAGATATCCTGTGACTCATCAGTGTCGGAGAAGTCCTGAAGACAGCACGCAAAACACTGTTTACATGCACGTGCACAAGACTCTTATCACCCAATGACAGCAGGGCACATAGCCCTATAGAGGACATCTTAACCCACGCTGTCATGAATCCAAGCGGCTCGTTAGGCAAGCTTGGTTTAGAGCATCCCACAGGTCTTTATCTGCTGATAATAACCCAGCGCCCTACTTCCGCTTTGATACGTCAGCCTGACATCAACTCTTTGACAATAAAAAAAACTTGCTGCAACGGTGCATCCTCCAGGCAGATTGGACACTGGGGAGAATCGGCCAGTTTAGCTGTTTCGGCAGTGACCTGCGATGCGGATGCAAAGGATCTTGACCCTTGTTTCGTGAGCTCTTGGCGTAAGGCTGCACGGGTGCCCAGATACCGGCCAAGCATTCCCGTTTCCGTGACACAGCCATGGAAGATCATGGAAGCGACAACCTTGCCTTCTCGGTGCTCGCCTCCAACGACCCTTCCGGTGCCGCCTTGCTGGAGTGGACAACTCCTGAGAGGCGAGGCCGCTGGTCATTATCCTCCCACGCCGTGCTTGTGAAAACAAGACACACGAATTATGTACTCCCAGCAATAGCTGCTGAAGCTCACGCAACCTGACAAACCATAAAGCAGCAGAGCTGCAGTGCGTCTGATCTTAGCAAGCCCGAATATCCAAGCGTTGCTTGGGCCCGCACCCATTCGAAGAAGCATTCGAAAGAAGTAGGCTAACCTGCAGATGCTACAGACAGAAATGAAATGGCCGCAGCTAAATCTGATTGGAAAGTCACTGCAGCGTGTGTAAGCCCGGCCGGACGACGAACTATCGGTTGGGACGTGCACTCAATGGCACAGGGTCTCACAAGGCAGCCGAGTCGCCCAACAATGTTGAGGAACATGAACACAGTCAGTGCCTGCAAGTCTCTGTTCTCGGGCTCTGTAAAACATTTAGCAAAGTCTGCCGTTTGGAATTTAGACGAACAGCACAGACGTCCGACGATTTAGGGAACTGGAAAGGTGCAGTGCATGCCTGCATCACGGCTACTAGTTCTCACCAAGCCACGATGTTAACCGTTGCGAAAGCCAAGATGGCATCGATCACACCTCGCCATGGCAAGGGACAGTGCCGAGCGGCGAGGTTCCACGAACTCGAGGCGTGGGGCTACAGTTTCCGCGCGAATCGCTGCAACAACCGCCGGACTACCTGCGGTCCGGTGCAGGCCTTGGCTTTCCTCTTGACAAACAAGCCGTGGAACTTGAGGCGCGGTGGACAGCCTGGCATCGGCGGACCAAAGCGCAAGCTAAGCAAGCCTCATTCATCTTCCAAGGCACCCTACTGGACACGGAGGTGCAAAAGACAAAACCAGAGAAGCGAAAGCTTAGAATCTCCCCCCGGGCCTGGCCCAGTGGATACCGATGGCATTCCAGGTGAACATGAACAGCGGTAGCAACAGATTGAAGAGCTTCACCCGCAACCTGACACAGGGATCAAGGAGGACTGGCCAGAGATTTCTGAAATCTTCTAAACCTCGTGAAAAAGACAGAAAGAGCCGCAAAGAATTTTCTAATTTGTTGAGCTTTCATCTTGAGAGCATCCCGAGGGCGACACGGAGCACGGTGAGGAAAATCAGGATCAGGCTCCCACGCGCCTGGAAGCGAACCCGCGAAGAGCGATGCTATGCCTGCTGTGCCTAGCTGCTCTGTCACTCACGCAACGTAGCTGGGTCTCCGTCAGAGGGTGCCCATGAGCCTGTGGCCACAGGCGGTGGACTTGGCCTCAGACGGTCGAAACTCCCGAGGTTAACAAGGGTTTAGATATGTTTATAGATTTAGACTTAGATGCAGTCGCCCACGGTTGGTATGATGAGGCACGACAGACTGAGGTGTCGGCAAAATTCAGGATCATCATGCTGTACAGGACGAAAGCCCAAAGAGTCAGAAGCCTCGGTCCCGATCTGCTTTTAGATCAACGTGCTGCCGACTGCAGAATGTCGCTGGAATGGGTAAACCTAGTCGGACGCTGCAGCCAGCGCTGATGTGTGAGGATCTGACAACGATGCCAGGACTATTCTGAGGAAGCTAGCACAGAACACTGGAAGAGAACCTCCGGGTTGCACAACCACCTGCAGGCTACTGGGGCCTCTGCGAGTCACAGCTGTGGAAGCCTTTCACATAGGCCTCTGACGGATGCAACATGTACAAGTGAAAGGCAATTAAGCAGAGCGGAAACGACGGGCCTTGGCCCAAACGAAACACAGCCTCGGTGCAGGAAGGACACGAGAGACACGCATGAGCACACGCGCACACACACACACAGAGCTAGCAGATATCCTCATGGACTGAACGCCTGTTGCAGATTGCGTGAAGATGATGGTGGTGATGGTATGTGATTGTGAAAGGCGAATATATGAAGATGAAAGAGCCCTCTAGACTCTAGCTGCGAGGCGGGGCCCCGGAGCAGGTGGTGCAGGGACCTTCTGAGCCACGGGACCCAGGAGCTGTCACGGGGGGCTTTTGCCACGGAGGGCTCAGCACCCGGAAAGAAATTCAAGGGAGGGACCCCCCCGCTGCCGCTGCGCATGATCGAGCCCATGGGGCCCATGGTCGATGAGCCGACGACCCGCAAAGAGTCGCTAACTAAGTTGGCCCCGCCGGCCAGACGTGACGTGGGAAAATCATGTCATTGGCACCGGAAAATCTCCGACCGTCTCCGACCGTCAGTACTAAACTGAAGCTGGCAACCTCAAGTGGACCTAAGCAAGCCACTGCGGGCTTGGTCGAATTCAGCATTCAACTGCCCGGGCACCCGGCCACACTAGCATGACCACGGTCAGCATGCCTAAAACGAAGCTGCTGATGCCAAACCTGAGATGCCGCAGGGCCGCATACAGTGCGGAAGAAATCACGCTCAAAGTTGGAAAGCAAAGGGCGAATCACGTGCAATGGTCTCCGAGTGTCCAAACCCGAGCCGGACAACTCTGCTTCGGCCGAGCAAGGGGCATCAGAAGCCAATGTCGGCATACCTCTGCCATCATTTCCTGCCGGTGCTTGGACTAAGCACCACTGCAATGCCCGAAAAGGTCCGTTTCAACTCGGTCTTCAGTTGAGGGCTGCGCTGTACAAGCAGACGGGAATGCTTCCGAGAAGGTTCGTTGCAGCTCAGTCCTGCCGATGCTGTCGGACCTGATAGCTCAGCTCCACAGTGAGCACTTGGTTGTCAGTGGTCATGCTGACGTTGCTTCAATGGAAACGGTGCTTTTGAAAGCACCCGATGCACAGACCAAATGCCGAAAAGCAGGGCACATGTCAGGTGCCGGACGAACAGGGCATCTACCTGCGCTGTTGTCATTCCCTGCGCAAGCAGCTCCTGCAACGCGAGAAGTCATGAGCAAGAACCACAGCGCGTCATGACTCAGCAGTCGATGCAAGGTAGAAGCGCGAAGAATGCAACTGCCTTCATAATATACCTGCATGGTAGCTTCTTTGTTCAGGTCTTCGTTAGTGAACTTGAAGTCGAATGCAGCACTGACGGAGTCACAAAATCCCCACCAGCCAGGAAGGAGGCTTCTTCCTGGATCAGAGCTAAAGAACCTCGACTCTGAACTATCAGTTGCACATAAAAGGACAACAACCTTCCTCGAGCCTTCACCGAATCCCTCGGATCGCTCATCCCAGGCCTGTCTTCGCACTTCGTCCCACTGCCCTGCCGCACTGCCGGGATGCACAAGCGTCTGGGTAGAATTTCGGTGTGACAAGAGGACATGGGTCTGACTACGAGTCTTCTGCAAACAAGCGCCATACCCAGCTCAGGCTGCATGCTGGCCTGTGGACAACGAGGAGACCCCCGAAAGCTCGGAGTTTACCTCAGCACGTCCCTTTGCAAGAACCCCACAAAAGCGCGAGAGAGTCTTGACTTGACTCCAAGTTGCAAACAACGATGCGATCGACACTCCGAACTAGAGCAGTGACCGGTTTTGTGCAGGGAGCGAGAGAAAGGGTTGGACCCTGCACTGCACCAGCTGAGCACAAGCATCCACCTCTCCGCTCGCTGCATCGCAGTATCAGTGCAGCCCCGTTGCTGGCCGCACGGCGATCGGAATGTCGCCATCAGCCGGCCATTGGCCAGGTGCACCTGGTAGAAACTGGAGACAAAGTTCATGCGCGCTAATCTCCCCCCACGAAGACTAAGACCCTGTACAGCTTGTTGAGGATGTTGGGGCCAGGCGCGCGCAAGCAAGTGAGACCATCGTGTCCCAAATTCCCCTTCCAATTCGCAAAAAGCTGCCTTCGACGACCTGGCCATCCTGGCCGCGGGCTCCGAACATCTCAGGCTCCTGGGGACTGGAATTGCAGAGCCATGCAGAGCCTGGAGTGTTCGTTTTTTCAGCTATGCTTGCAGGTGCTGCACTTGCCGGACTTCGGTGAGGGTCACTTCCGCTGAGTTGATTTCAGCCGAATCTCGCTTGCTTCAAGCAGGACCTTCTGGCTTTGGCTGAGGGCCACACCATAGTCCGTGCATCGGACATCAGCTACCAGAACACAGGCCAACTACACCAATGCTAGAACATCTAGACGATAATTAATGTTAGGTAGCTGCACTTTCCAATGTAGTCATGTCTGGTTAGGGTGCTGGTGGGGGGCTGAGGGTCCTGGGACGCTGGGCTCAGGATGACTAAGGATAAGGCGAAGCTTGCCCCTGCTGCTAGCAGCTCAGCAGCTGAACCCAGGCACGAAGTAGTGTAAGCATGCGGGCTCGACAGCTTTGTGCCCGTGTCGAAGGAAATCTACGCCTGCCTTGCAGAACTCCGCCCGCACACGCGCGCACACACACACACACTCGCGCGGGCGGCCACCACCCACCCTCCGTTTTTCAGAAGCACTGCCGGGCCATGAGCAATGCTTCTTCCTCGCCGTCCGACACTCAGTCCTTCACTTCAGTGGTCCTCGGATCGGAAATCGTCCAATTGCACGGCTCCACAGTATCCCACAGAAAGCTTAACAGGGATATCCACGTTGCTCTAAGTTCAACACGAAAAAGGCAAGAGCCGACCCTGTCGGAAGCCCCAGGAGTCCTAAAATGTGCACGGCATATGGTGTGCCATGCGGAGGTTGTGTGTTGACAATGTTGTTTTCAGGTTGATTTGATTTGGGGCCTGCAAATTTAGCTTTTGGGGTCAATTCATGGTCGAGGCCTCAAGGCATAACTGAAGGCAGACACGGACCGGCCCTGAGACCGTGTAGCCGGGCCTCGATCTGGGGCAGTGTGCAGCCAGGCGTCTACTCCTGCACTGGCCGAATCCTGCTGTCATCAGCTGCCCGGCATCTGGCCCTGTTCACCGGCATCAGCGGGTTAACCTGTGGTCCAGCTGGGTCTCTCGACCAAACGAGCTTCGCATTCCGAATCGATACCCGGTTGCCGATGCTATCGACAGTTGACAATGGCAAACCAGCGTCTCATGCAACTCCTTTCTGCATGATGTTGCAGGCCACTTTCTTGCCTCAAAGCGCCGGTCTTTGCTAGTCTTTCAGCGCCTTCCCACCTTGAAACCTTGCAGTCCAAGGCAAAGGGAGGAGCGGGCGCGCGAGCCCTAAAGGCCCTGCAATACCCAACATTGAACTAAACTGAACGGCGACCGCGTTCAGCTGTAGCCCTCAGCCACATGATCTGCCGAGATGCCCCGGAAGCCCGCGTGGTGAAAACAAGATTGCGACAGTTCTGAGAGCCTCGCCATCGGACAAAGAAGGGCAAGATGGAGATCACAGCGCAGTAGGTGGCGCCGAACTGGACAGGTTCTTCGGGGTCTCGATCGCAGGATCTGCTGCAGTCTTTGAGTGACCTTTCTGGGCCTTCAGCTTGAACCAAAACTCTTCCCAGGCATTTTCCTTAGCTTTTCTCGCCTCAGCCGGAGGTTGGTCAAGCTTGTTACTGGTTCTCGTGCGCCGGGAGGTCAGTAATTTCTTGACAAGGGCTGGTGCGAGCTCGATCTCAGCCACCGGCTGCCTCTTCTGCCTCAGCACCACCTGCCCAGCCATCACAGTGTTTAAGCATCGCAGTCATTTGCACGGAATAGTGCAGTCTCGGAGTACCCGCAACCAGCTGCAGAGGCCCACGACTCTCTGCCTGGCATGAAGAACATGATGCCAAACTCGCGGTCGGCTGTAGTGGTTCACAGAACCTGGGACCGTCGAGTGTCTTATTTGATATCGTCCCAGCACTCAACACCACGAATAGGTCAACAACATGTTTTTTCCAGGCCTCGATGGGTGGCCCGGGCGTTCTAAGGGCTCCTTTCGCTTCCGGGCTCCCTGCAACCCGCAGTGAGCCAAGGGTGCGGCGTGCCAAGTCGAATGGTGTCTCCAAGAGGTCGCTCGAACATGAGGAAGGAGGGGCTTTGGACTGCCTCTTATGCCAGTTGAGCTCCGCCTAAGAAGAGCTAAGCAACTTAATACTTAATCATGTTCAAGCCCGGACATCATTCAGAACAGATGTAGAAATCTAGAGAGCGGAGCTTTTGTCTCGAGTCCGTCCGTCGAGCTCGTCCGGCTTGAGAAAACTCGCCTTGACTCCGTGTCAAATGCCACAGAGATCAGATGCGCTGGCGTAACCTAAACTAACATAAGTTCAAAGCGACCGCTCGGGCCCTCGGCAAAGATCATGCTCGCAATGAATGCCCGAGCATGCTCTGGTAAATCTATCAAACTGCATGCTGCCACGGATTGGGCAGTAGCACCAGCCCCCTCGTCAATTCCGCCAGGAAAAGTCTCAACGACCCTCGCTAGCAAAATCAAGCTGCACATCCAGTACCGGCACATCTGTAAGCTTGAACCGATGCGTTTCTCAAGGTCGAGGGGGCTTGGGTTGGCCTTCTAAAGAAACGTGACTGCTGATGAGCACAAGCCGTTCTCTTTTCTGTCTGCATCTAGCATGGCGTTTCCTTTTTCGCCGTGCCTTCGGTCAGGCGGGCTTGTGCTCAGCTGCTCTGCCCGAGCACTCAAGGAGGGCGCACAGCCCCAGGTGCAGGGCTCCTGCGCACTGTGGCTTTCTGCAAGTTCTGATGGGATCCGGTACGAGCAAGGAGGGGCACAGAATTTCCAAGCTGCAGAGTCACAGAGACGTCTTGGTGCATGGCGGCCAGGCCTCGATTTCGGCACCGCTTGTGAGCCGCTCACGCGGTCTCTGCGGCCATTCCTTCGCGCTAGCAGCGCTGAATCAAACGAAACAACAGCCGCCGCTTAAATCTCCGCAGCAACTGCAAAAACCACCAAAGTGAATGCAGGAAACCAAGTCATCACGTCGCTTACGGCTACAGCTTCATGCCAGACTTTCGGTCGCTCCTTCAGCATTCGCATCTGTGGTCGATGTGTCAGCTGGCTCGGCTGGCTCCTGGCTGCACCAATCGGCTCTCGCCCATGCATGAAAATGTCTGAAATTCACGTACATGACATGCTTCGATCATGCATGTGCAAAGCAGACCGAGTCGCGATGCGGTCAATGATCGCCCCTTGTATCCTTCCACAACTTCATGCCCCTGTGACTTAGGCGGAAGGCTTCCTCGGCGATTGGGTTGGCTTCGATGTGCTTGTCCTTGGGCTTGTCCTCAAAGGTGGAAGCGAAGCCCTCAACACAACACCACTGATTCGCTTGGGGCAATATTCAAGAGGTGGGTGAGGGAAAGGTGACCAATTGGCAGAAAAGGCTGTATGCATGCCACCTCTGGGCGCATCCATACTCAAACCTAGTCACAGTCCGCGTTTAGTCAAGCTCGTCTACGAGTCCAACAGCACACACCATCAGATTTCAAGCATGTGGTGGATGAAGGAGTGGCACGAGTAAAAGTTCGTTCCACGACAACGACAGAAAAAGCAGTGAGGGCATTCGCGCGGCAGTCAGCAGAACCGAGACCAGTGTGTCTCTGAGAACCCTGGCTTTGTGCTTCGTGTCGTGATGTCTCGTTTAAGCTATGGGGTGTGATGGTGTGTGATGGTGTGTGATGCTGTGTGATGGTGTGTGATGGTGTGTGATGGTGTGTGATGGTGTGTGTGTGTGTGTGATGCTGTGTGATGGTGTGTGATGGTGGGTGATGGTGGGTGATGGTGTGTGATGGTGTGTGATGGTGGGTGATGGTGGGTGATGGTGTGTGATGGTGTGTGTGTGTGTGATGGTGGGTGATGTTGGGTGATGGTGGGTGATGGTGGGTGATGGTGGGTGATGGTGGGTGATGGTGGGTGTGTGTGTGTGTTTGTGTTTGTGTTTGTGTTTGTGTTTGTGTTTGTGTGCGGGGTATGGTCGTGTATGTTACTACCCTGCGGCAGGTGGGAACGCATAGCGCT